ACCCACCCACCCATCCGCTGTTCACTCACTGCGCTCACTCACGTGACTCGCGGCGCACGCCGAGTGCCTGGCCGTTAGCTGTGCTTTGCGTTGGACTCATCACTAAATGACTTTATTCGCCTCTTCCTCTCCCCTCCAAGTAAATACCTGAGAAGTCTGTACCTCATATGCGCGTGTGCGCGCGGGTGGTCTACTCGCCTGGCCCGCAAGGGATCGCCCGGGAAGAACGTCCGCTTTTCTCAGATTCGTCCGTGAAAATTACAAGAGCTTGACGCCTGCGAAAATTAGGGTAGGCCACCCAGCAGTGCACGCGTGCACTGTAGGCAAGATGTTGCCTACCGACCAGGCGCTACGGTAGCTTCCATTGGCTGAACCGCGCAGGTTTCCTAATGGCAAATATGCCGGGCCGGACGTACATTTTGGAGACACTCTAAGCGCCGCATAGGGACGGTAAGCCCGCGAGCCGAACCTTTGTGGGAGGCACTTGAACTGGTTCAACTAGACGAGTAATATCAACTTCCGACGGCTCACGATGATGCGACGCGACACACCAGCAAACAGAACCCCTTTGGTTGTGGAGCTCGATACAATGCCTGGTCACAGCCAGCTGTAGAGCGCTTATGTCTCTCCTTCCACCTCCCTATCTCGCCCCTTCCCTCTCTCTCTCAGCCCGGCCGTTGTTGCCAGAGTCCGGGGACTCGTGCACTTTATCTGCGCTCTGCACGGGCGAACAATAGCCGGGCGCTTGCTGCTCTTATTTGCAGTGGCTCCTCCCAAAATGTTCAGCCAGCAGCGCAGCGAGGCTCATAGCCGGGCGACAGGCGATTGATTCTTTCATGGGTTCTTTGCTTCGGCCGCTTCTGTTGCCATGACCATATCAATACCCATTATTACTAAAAATTAATAATAAAAACAGCCAATAAGAGAATCGTCGTTATCGTTGCCAATGTAACGATCCCGCGCCGCAGCCATTGCATCAGCTGGGACTCGCTGGCCGCCTCGCTCGGTCTCGCTCGCTCTGCAGCCACCGCGCGACGGCTATTTCGGCGACGTCCTTCAGTCCATTCACTTCGACGGCCACTCGTGCTCTCGGGCCCCGGCCGGGCCCCGGGGGTCGGAGGGTCTCGTCTCTACATACTCTGGCGAAAATTGCAACGACACATGTTTAGACGCAATGCTCTTGTATTAATTTTTTTCGCCGGAATGATGGGCCGTTTTATTTGAAAAATAATATCAGAATATACGGGTCCGTATTTTGGAGGGTCAGTCTCGGGGGGACCATCTTGTACTTTAATTCTTGTATTCTGATATTACTTTTCAAATAAAACGCACCCAGAAGAACACTTTTGGGGTTCAAAATTTTCTTGGCTAAAGTGAAAATTTCTTACCAAAAAGTCATATTTTTCATTTGGGTGACGAAAAAATTCATTTAATGGAACGAATTTTGTCGAATTGCAGGAAATTTTTCAGTAGCGCGACGAAAATTGTGTTGGCTACGGCAAAGTCCAGATTTTTGTGTCCCGGAAAGATACGCGTTTCCTGAGTGCGCAACGTCCCGTACTGCTGATGACACAAATTTTGCACGGCCATTTTTTTTTCTTGACAGGGTGTCGCTCGTCCCTCCAAATAATGTCGCACTTGTTTGGCTGCTTAATATCCATCGTTACGTTAATTAGCGCTTGCACAGCTGGCGCGTGGCTCAGGCCGGCTCAGGTAGTGTCTCCTCGCTCGATCTGCAGCCTGGCGCGTGGCTCAGAGTGTCTCCCAGTGTCTCCCAGTGTCTCCCAGTGTCTCCTAGTGTCTCCTCGCTCGGTCTGCAGCCTGGCGCGTGGCACAGGTCGGCTCAGGTAGTGTCTCCTCGCTCGGACCGCAGCCCCGCGCGTGCGCCGGCCAGATCCAGGCCGCTATTTCAAGGGAGGCAGGAGAGAGAGAGAGAGAGAAAGGAGGGGGAGTGGCGGAGGCAGGGTGCCCTACTTGTAGGACAAAGCCTTGCAGTTTGCCTACCTACCCTACAGTTGGCCTCTTCTAGGCATCAGAGGGGGAGGGGGGGGGGGCGCCCCTCACCCCCCACCCCATACCGTTGCTCTAGTTGTGTTGCGTGAGTCCCAGCAGCTCGGCCCGGCCGCCCGCGGCGTGTCCCAACTCACCCACATTTCATCTCGCTGTCGTAGATCGCGGAGCCGCGCAGAGCTGCATATAGGACTCTGAGCAGGGGGCGCCCTGCAGGCCCTGCAAACGGACTGCAGCGGACTGTACTTTGTACCCGCGGGCCGCGCGGGCGGGGGCGGTCGGTGGTCCGGTACACGTGGTCCTGTGTGTGCCGTATCGCGCCACCTTTCTCGCGCCAGCTGCGCCCGCTGCGCCAGCTGTGTTTTGGACGCGGATGGTCCGTGCCGAGCCGCAGGTGCGGCGTAGAGTCTGTTTGAGAGTCCTGGGAGGCCCGATCAGCCCATATAGTCTCGAGGGGCTCTGGTAGTCGGCCCGCCGGTGCCTTGCCGCGAGCAGCGTGTGGCACTTCCCCCGACCGAGTTCTCAAACGGGTGGGTCTATCGAGCAGTCGAAAAGACCCGGGAAATGCAAGTGTGCGAATGTCTCTCACTTTAGGTGCGCACACTAAAAGCTTATGAACATTTTTATTCATAGCTTACTGAGTTCTGTGTATACGTACTCAGAACTCAGTAAGCTATGAATAAAAATGTTCATAAGCTTTACGTGTGCGTGAATGCCCCATTCGTACACTGGAGGCCGGGTGATTTTTCTCGTTGGAAGTCACAAGCATGTGGCTCTATGTGTACGAATTGCGTTCACACATATACTACAAGTGTGCGACATTCACACACTTCCGGGCGCGCACTGTTAAATTCCTAAAGCATTGCCTTGAAGACGATTTGCAAATTGCGAAGCGGAAGACTGTGATGCTTTGCAGGAATTTAACAGTTAAACTCCGTGGCCGTTTTTCTTGACAAATCATTTTGGGATTAATTCTCTTTGAATGCAAGATTTTGGCATTCTTTCGGATATTGCAAAGTTTGGCGGCGAGCGAAATGGCCGCGGCGTTGAGTGTCGAACTTAGGTGGAGCCTTTTGTCCGGTTACAGCTGCAAAAAGGTTTGCTGCATCTCAAAGAGAAGAGACGATTTCATTCTCATGAAATTTCTGTGCGACCGGATAGTTTATATCGCCAAAACAAAACGCGAATTTGGGATAAACACCCTGTTTTTGACATGAAAGTAATTAGTCGAACCTGAAGCCTAGCGACTTCTGGGGCAGCTTCTTAAATGTATTCAGAATGTATCCGTTTCCTGGCCTACCCCTGTGGCAGCTCCTGGAGGACGAAAAGTCAGAAGTATATTTGTTTTGCCCTGTTGACCTAGCTTTGGGCCTATTACGTAAAAATTGACTTGAAAAATTAATTGTCTTGAAGTTCTGTTTCCATTCGTAAGCCTAGATTTTTTAATCAACCTTACCGAGGGCCTACCGCGAGGGGGTGCATGCATAGCTCTGATCAACGGGCGGAGCCGCGGAGCACATTTCAAATCGTCTTCCAAAGAGAGCGCACTGTTGTAATGTTAGGTGTAATGTTAGGTGAAGCGTTTTCTCACGAGAGTGCACCAACCTAACGCAAGAAACCTGTCACCATATTAGGGATCGTCCAGAAAGTTCGTCCATTTTCCTCAGATGCATTTGCCTAATTACGGGAGCTGGCTGGGAGAATTGCAAGACTCAGGGTAGGCCAACCCGCAATACACCTTTGCACTGCAACCAAGATGTTGCCTACCTAACAGGCGCTACGAGTTCTCGCATTGCCGTTTAAGTTCAAGTTTGCATTTTCTAGACTCTTTGTGATGTCTAACTATGTTATACGTCAGTTGGTGTTTAAACTTTCGACCCTTCCGAAACGTATAACAGCTGCACACCGTATGGTTCCCTATTGACAGCATAGAACTGTGTGTGTCCAAGTGTGCAGAATTTAAACGTTTACAAAACGTCTAAATTTGCACACACTCTAAATGTCCAAGGACAATTTTTGTAACTAGCACCGGACTTCTGTGTGCATAACTAGCTCAGATACAATATTGTAACTACCAACACACATTTAGTGACTAGCAAGTCACAATATTGTATCTGAATTCAGTTATGCACGCAGAAGTCCGGTGCTAGTTACAAAAATTGTCCTTGACATTTAGAGTGCACCACGCAAGTGTGCAACTTGAGTTAAACACCATGTAATGTGCAAAACCACAACTTGCACACGTTGGTGTGCAAATATTGCACACTTGTTTTACCAGTGCATGAGTGAGCGGTGTGTGGTGCGTGCGGCGCCCCAACCACCTCCTTGAGTGCGAGAGAGACGCTCATTTGGGATGGGAGGCGTGACTAGAAGGGATGCCACCCTCGCCCCTGGAATGTCGTGGGTCTCCATGACGACCCCTCTTTGCCAGGGAATGGGGGTGGGGATGCCCCACACCAGCAGTGCTGCGGGTCTGCTCAGCCTGCATGGCCCTCTCCTCAGCGCGCCCTGCCGGCCAAGAAACATTCATGACCATTATTAACGGGATTGGCGTTCGATTCTCCAATGCCTTTTCACTTTTGCCTTTGAAGAAGTGGAGGTGAAGTTAAGAACAAATCCTCCCCCCCCCCTCCCTCCCTACTCTGCCCTCCCCCTCGCCCCTCCTCGCCCCTCCTCTCCCCCCTTCTCCGAGGAGTACTTAGACTCGGGCTTGCTGCCCTCTCTCATGCCTCTCTACTGCAATTTGTCAAGTTTCAATGCATTAGAAGAGCAAAAGAGAAGTGGAACCAAGTAAGTATAAATTAATGTAAAATATTTTTATTTTGTACAGGTGAACTACGATACGGATTTGGGTCAAACCCCTCCATGATGGACCACTCCATGATGGACCATTCTGCAATGAACCACTCCATGATGGAGCACTCTGCAATGGACCACTCCATGATGGATCACTCCATGATGGACCACTCTGCCATGAACCACTCCATGATGGACCATTCTGCGATGAAAAACGCTGCGGTTGACCACTCGACGATGAACCACTCCATGATGGACCACTCAATGATGGATCACTCCGTGATGGACCACTCCATGTCTAATCACTCTATGGTAGTTATTTTGTTTTTTGTAAAGTAGTTTGTCTTGACTACGGATTAAAAATATGCTGTAATCCCACGTGCGTTGTCAGGTGGGCCATGCATCACATTCTGGGATGGATCATTCGGGGATGTCAATGTCTATGACCGTATGTATCATCTGTTACTTATCTATTTATTTATTATTTAATTACTTCTGTGACTCAGAATGCAACCGACTAGATTTGCCGAGATGTAATGGTGGATTTAGTCTGGTGAGACCACGGGCCTTACGAGACTAAATCCACCATAAAGCATGAATGCTGCATGAATGCTGCATGAATACGTGCGTGCGGGTTACCTACGTGTAAGGCGCCACAGTCTGCTATGAGAGGCAAACCCGCCAACGCGCGCGGACGGCACTGTCTTAGTTACAGAAGTGGAGTTTAGGAGGGCTAATCAGCCACCTTACCCTTACGACATGTGAATTTTTTTTTATTTTTACAGTTTCATTTCGGTGTCATGGAGACAGTTTTATTTAAAGGTTGGCAAGTTGGGGGAGTATCAACATTGTTGTTATCTTGCGTTGGCATCTTCTTCATGGCATTCATTTATGAAGGAATCAAATATTACAGGTTTGTAGGCTCTGTTTTGATTCATCTTGATTTTAAGTTGTTCAAGTATTTATTAAATATGGTTTAAACATTTTAGGGAAAACTTATTGTGGAAAACATATAATGCCTTACACTATAGAGCAGTGGATGGTAATGCAGTTCCAGATGCAGAAAATCATAAAACGTGAGTATTCTTTCTTATCGAGAAGTACCTACGTCGCCGAAGGGTGGAGTAAAAACAGCATTTCTATAATATAGTTTGTTACATGGGCATCAACTCGAGTAAAAACAACAATTTTTGTGGGAAAAATTATTTTGTTTCAACAAATTTGTTTTTAAAAATTTCAGTGTTGTCCGAGAAATTATTCGCAAAGAAGAGTAAGTTTTCTATATTTCAAAACAATTTTTTCTGGGCTTTTCTCCATATTCTTTCATTTCTATTTAGCTTTCTGCATCTTTGCATCTTTGAATTATTTTAGCAGGTCTGGATTTGCTATGGTACAGCCTATTGTCATGTTCCTGCCTAAGTAATACAAACTCATTGTGAGATGCACCTTCGGATGCACCCTTTGATTATTTCAAAGTGCTCTAAAATTTGTAACACTCTGCAAGTTAATTTTTGCATGGGCCTTTTTTTGAGCTGGCTTTTGCACCATTTTTGCACGTTTCTGAAACTTATTGGTCTTCCAATTTCAGTTCTCCAATGTGCCATGCATGCTGCGAAAATTTCATGTACACTTATAGATTTAGAGGAAATGTTTAAATGTTTCTCCTTTTGCCTTGTTTTTGCCACCTTGTGCTATTTTTACTCCCTCTATTCTGGGTACCTCCGTCTATAAGACGAACTTTTTTTCTGTGTAACATGTGCTTATATTGTGAAGCATTTCTATATTTGCTATAAGTTATTTCTTTGTTACAGACCTAAGATGTTCAGTCAGAAGCATGTAGTGCAAACATGTCTGCACATAGTTCAGCTGACTGTTAGCTACCTTCTGATGCTTATCTTCATGACCTACAATGTTTGGCTGTGTCTCGCTGTTGTGGCAGGATCAGCCTCTGGCTACTTTGTTTTTGGCTGGAAACGTACAGTTGTAGTTGATATGACTGAAACATGTCACTGACCCAAGTTCAGCGGCCCAGCGCCGCTCGCAACAATAGAAAGTTTAGGAAGCATCAATAGTAATTTGTGTAAAGAGTGTTGATGAATTAATTTTCAGTCATCTCTCTACTCTAAACACTCACACACACAAAAAAAATCAATAACTGTAAACCGAGTGACAGTTTGGTCTTTTGACTATCTGCAGTGATTCTGAACTAGAAGTTGACTTTAGTGTGTGGTCAAAGAGACAGTACCTTTTCTGGTATGAAAATTAATTACCTACCTATACTTGTTTTTAAGTTTTAATTTTATTATTTTAATTTAAATTCCATACTTTATTGAATTGACAGTTCATGCATAGCTCATCTTCTGTGTTATAGGTGAAATAGGATAGTCTTCTAAACCAGTTGGAGGAGGCAATAATGACTGCACACTCCACCTTTGTTGTTATTGCAGTTGTTTATTACATAGTAAGTTCTGTATTAATACTACCCATTCAGTAAGATTTGTGGTAATGATTTCTATTTTTTCTTGATTGTAACCTTCACAGAAAAATGTGAGAAAGCTATTCCACCTAATGAATCTCTTGTTAAATGTAAGTTAAAATGTAGAGTGGTCCTTTCCATTATTTTGTGCTTGCGCTTTGGCAAATGACTAGCGCATGCTGGACTGTTCAAAAAACCTTTGTTTTCTTACTGGTCTCACGACTTGTCGCATGATATGCTTATTGAGCATCATCCATGAGAAATAAAGTAAGCACATATTTTTGTATTTGGTTTTACACCTATGGTGTAATTGTTATCTCTATTTTCATGAAAAAAGTGTACTTATAACAGACTGCAAATATCTCCCGCTTCCAAAAAAATGCAGCAGGAGAAGGCCTATTGTGTAAATTATAATCTCTATTTTGCAAGAAATGTGTGTACTTACAATAGACTGCAAATTTTTCCTGCTTCCAAAAAAATGCAGGAGAGCGGTTTTTTATTTTAATGGGAATTAAAGTGGCTGTGATAACAGGAAAATAATGTTCATTCTGTTGACTGAATCATGTTTTATTTTGGGTAGAAAATGACAAATAAAATTGTTGTAAAAAATACAATAATCAAAAAATCCTAGAGTTACTGCTTCAATGCAAGAATAAATTTACATGACAACATGACCAGATGAAATTTTCATTCACTCTTTAATATCTTCCTCTTGCCCTTCAATGTATTTCACTAAACTCTGCAATACATTTGGTTTGGCTGAGCTGTCCCAAGAAGTTCTCAATAGCATCAATTTTTTTATAATAGTCAAAATAACAGCAAAAAACCAACAAACCCAAAACTGGTAGGAACCAGCTTGGCCTTATCGGACTCCTGACTCAATCCGTCATCCTCCGCCTACAGCCAGGCCACCCATTTAACAGCAGTGCTAGTTGTGTTGCTGCAAGGTTTCTGTTTGCCGCCCTCTCCTCCCCCTCCCCCTTGGTTCCTTCCCCTTCCCTTCCCCTCGATCTAAGTTTCCGGACTAACGTTTTCTGCCCGACATCAGACGACGTTGTTAGTCATACAAGACTAAACAACACCTTCAACAACATTAGGCAAGAACAACGAAAAGCTTCTTTCATTCACTTAATTGTTTGGCTGTGACAGTCGAAGAGTTAGCAAAATGAATCGTCTTTTCGGGAAAGCAAAGCCCACGGAGCCACCTCCAAACTTGACGGATTGTATCGCTGGGGTAAGTCAAAATACACATCAAGACAATTTTTTCATTTTTTGACAGTCTATCTTCATAACCTCACCAGATCCCATTCTGAAAACTGATAGTGCTTGATATGTTGACTTATCGTTTTAGTCTTTTTAACCTCACATAAAATAGTTAATTCCAAGTAGCTTTGCTTTTGCTTTTGTTTAGTCATATTCCTTTGCCTAGGTTGACAGTCGGGCAGAATCAATTGACAAGAAAGTCCAACGATTGGAGCAAGAGCTTGTTAAGTACAAGGACCAACTGAAGAAGATGCGGGAGGGTCCTGCAAAGAACGCTGTCAAACAAAAGGCACTACGTGTTTTGAAACAGAAGAAAATGTTAGTTAACACTTTGCTTGTGTCATTGTATTTGTCTTCAATGCCATTGTGTTTTCAATTAAGTTGTTTTACTTATCTGAATTCTGTACATTTTAAGGTATGAGACACAGTCTGATAACCTCAGGCAACAAGCATTCAACATGGAACAGGCTAATTATGCTCACCAATCAATAAAAGATACCCAATCAACAGTTGTTGCTATGAAAGCTGGAGTGAAATCTATGCAAAAAGAATTCAAGAAAATCAATATTGACGAGATTGAGGTAAGAAAGCTAGCTTCCTGTTTGGTGGTGTTGGTGCGGTTCAATCATCTTTAATGTGGTTTTATTTATATATTTTAGGATATTCAAGATGATATGGCAGATATGCTTGAAATGTCAGAAGAAGTACAAGAAGCATTGGGTCGCTCATATGGCACACCTGATATTGATGAATCTGAGCTAGAAGCTGAGCTCGATGCACTTGGAGATGAGATTGCACTAGACGATGACACTTCATACTTAGATGATGCCGTGTCAGCTCCTGCTGCTCCTGATCGCGAACCTGGTGCAGATAGCATTGATTTACGAAATAAGGTCTGTTTTTACATGTCCCTTTCTTTCTTACAATTGTCTGTAACTGAAAATAAAATACCAATAACTCTCTTTTGCCTACAGGATGGTGTTTTAGTGGATGAATTTGGATTGCCAAAGATACCAGCTTCTTTGAAAAGTTAATGTCAAATAAGTTTTTCGTGGAGAGACTCCTTCAAAACCAATGTCCTTAGCCTATTGTAAGCATATATTTTCACCATGCAAATAAAATTCTACTAAGTGCCTTGAGGTGTACCTTTCATAATGATGTTTTTTTGTTTGAAATTTCGTGATTATTTGCTTCTGCACAATTTGTTACCTTGTTATTACTTAAAGACCTATTATTTTACTCGTTGTATTGCACATGAAACTTATAACAGCTTGTTTACTTCATTTTCCTTTTATATAAATAAAGCGTCTAAAACCTGTTAAACATTTTTTTTTTAAATAGTTGAATGGCTAATGAAAAGCTCCAGAAAATTATAATGTTTAGTCAAAATAGAACCTGGAATTCTCTTCCTTTTTCTGTTGAGGCTGATCCCCTAACGTCACCAATTTAAGCCAATTTCATTTTTTTTTGCCATAACATTGAATATTCGCGGCACATCTCGCTCGCAGACTGCCATCTAAAAATATATTGTCCACTTTGTATTTTGTTAATGCCGTTCAAGGAAATGCAAAGGGTTTCCTTTAGTAGTTTTATTCATTCATTAAACGTTAAAATTACCTTGAGATCAAAACGGCTCCAGGAACCACTCGCTTCTGAATGACTCGGTATGTTCAGCACATGCTGGCAGCACTGACGGACGTGGACGTTCGAGACCACTAACGATAATTTTGAGAAGTTGAGAAAGAAAGGGGTGATGCTTATTTTTTGATATATTCTCTCTTCATATTCTTTATCGTTGATTTATTTCGGTGAGTGCACATCTAAATTTAACTCATTTCATCATCATTCGCCACACTTGTTTGGTCATTCTCTCTCCCTAGTTTCTTGAATCTTGTTTGTGCATTCCTGAATGCTGTGGGACGGACCTTCGTCATTTTACAGAACGAACTCAGTGGTTGTTTCAAAGAATTTACCGGGGATTATTAAAACGACAGGAGTATTCTTGCACCTCACTCTCTTTAGGCTTCATTGGCCAATTATAAACCATGGAACACCTATTCATTCCCCTGTCCTAACCTAAAATGCTATTTCCAACTCATTTCTTGTTAAAGTTCTTGCAGAAAAATTAAATTTTACAACAGTCACTGTTTTGTTTTTCATTTTGTTTGTAAGTTACTCTACGCTGAAATGGTTGTCAAATATAATCAGCTCTATGTTAACTACTTTTGTGAAGATATTATTCCTGTTAGTAGTTGTGGTGTTTTGTTTAAATTTTATGTTTTGTGAGGTGTCTTTCCATCTTAATACTGTACACTCCAGTTCTTTGTATAACCAGGCCTCCGCTTTTAATTCCTGTTTTCACATATTAATTTATTCATTCATTCATTCATTCATTCATTCATTCAATATCTCTTATCACTTCAATCTTGTTTGATCAGCTTTATCTTATTTGGGTCCAACTTCCATTTTTCAGAACTAAGGTGAATCAGGGTCACCATGTCAAAAATTGCAAGCCCCACCCATTTTAAGGGTGAATTGGACCACTTTTATGATCCTACATTCACTGCTGACATAAGCCAGAAAATGCAGGTGCCAAAGAGTATAAGAGTCGGTGGTGGTGACATGGATGAAAATCAACGACACAACTGGGTGAATGAGAAATTTGATATGCATGTTCCAGATAGGATTCTTGTTGTTGGTATGTATCCAAATTATTTCACACATTCTCATATAAATTTGATTATTATTTTTGTTAAAAACTGGAATCTTTGTTTTGTCATCTAGGTGAGGAGCAACACATTGGCACCAGAGCTCCCCCACGAGAAATCTTATTGGAAAATGCAGTGATGCCTCCTGAACCAGATTTTATTCGTGTGCAGGTAAAATAAAATTTGCCAGTACTGTACCTCTGTAGATTGTGCCTATATTGGCTTTAATCTGAAGTACTACACTAAATGAAATTTAAATGGTTTTACAGACTCCTCCCCGTGTGCTAACATTGGATGATCACTACTTTCCTTCTGCGGATGATTATCCAAGGAATAGTCCTCCTGAAAGGGAAATCAGTGGAAAGTTTGACTCTGGATCTAATTCTGAAATAAATCAAATCACTCCTTTTAAGACCAGGCACAATGAACATGACCACAGCCTAATTCAGAGGTAAGGTCAAACTTGAGTTTTTGCTTCAACTGACTGACTGCTTTGCTAAGTATTATCACAATTCTGTATTTACAATTTATCAGGGACTGGACTCCCATGCCGTCTGCTGGAGGAGAAGGTATCACTACCAGCGAGGAAATCATGCACCTGAGGAGGCAACTAGCCAAGCTGAATCGCCGTGTTATGGCTGTTGAATTGGATAATGTACAAATGCAACAGAGAGAAAAAATGTTATATGCTTCAGTTGCAGCATATTTGCTCTATAAGCTTATCTCATGGATGAGTCATAATGGCTAAAGTGTAGTTTTATTGGTATATTCTTTCACCCAACTGTTTCATCACATTTGTGGTAGCATGATTCCACGTTGGGTGTGTGTGTGTGGAATTCCTAGAAGAGTAATGCTTTCTCTAGATACAATATCCTCAGAGGCTCCTCTCTAACTGTTTAGTGCTACCTACCCATGAGTATTGTATATTTTTACTGTGGTTATCATAAAGACTTATTTTGGAAATGTAAATGGTTGGCTTGGATTGGTCATGTGTACTGTACTCCTTTTATGGTTTTGGTTTTGGGGGATTTTCAGTTTAGTATGCCATATAGTGTTAAAAAATTGTGTTTTACTTGCCTTCTGAACACTTAGTCTTTTAGCTCTGAAGCTTAGTCAAAGGCACCTCTCTTACATATTATCCGTATCAATTTTTGATCCAATCAAATTATGATTCTTGTTAATTTTTATGAAAAATCAGATGAGAAAGTTGTCTGTATTCAGATATTTGCAGTAGTTATGTAGATGTAGAATTTGCACTTTGCAATTTATGGAGGCTATTTGTGTTTGTCAAGCCGATTATAGGCCCGCCATCAATTTTCGGCTTCCCCCAGAGCACTGGCATAAATACATTTGAGTTGTTAAGTTTGTATCATGTTGCGATTCATTCAAGCTTTTTAAAGATCTGGTCTAGTACAAGTACACCCAAAGAAAAAGTTTTGGAATCTGACAACATTGTGGCTACAGAAGTTGTGATATTTGTAATATTGTATTGTTGCTACTATCTTATCTCTGTATGTGAGATGGTTGTAAATACGTATTTAGAGAGTTGAATAATCATGCCCTTGTCTTAATGAAAGTATAGAGTTGACCTTCCAAATTTTCCTTGTTAGGAGCAGGTTTCATATGAAGGTACTTCTGTTCTTCTTGGAGATCACGTTGTGTTGTATTGTTATAAGGTCTCTGAGGTAAACAACTCATTTCACATGTACATACATTTTAAATACACTATGGTCAATAATTTTCTTTCCTGCGTTTGTCATTTGTCTGCCTTGAAATATAAGTCTTTCTCAAACAATCATTAGGAGTAAATCTTACGCAAATCATTTAAAGAGAAAGTGTGGAAAACAGTGTACCAAGTATACCGTATACTTGTTTTTGAACCCAAAACTTATTTTTTGTTAACATAGATTGAAATACACTCTCTGGATAGTAGGGACAGGGTACACTACTGTGGTCATAACATTGGGTTTTGAGCAATGAATGTTATACCTCTGGAATGTTATGCCACACATAAATTGCATAGAAAAGTGGCTCCAAATGCTGCATGTGTTAGAAGGGCTATCAGTCATACTGCTACAATTTGTTTAAACTTTTATTATGAACCATAAATCTCTCCAGTAATTGCCATAGTTTACATTGATAGAGGAGAATTAATCTTTTTACTGCACCCAAGAAGGGCAATGTTATACAATAATATTATTTTACCATGTCTAGTTCAGTCAAAGGATTTCTTCTGCGAATGTGCAACATATGTTGTTCTCTCTTCAAATCTAGTTGGGCAATTATGAGCCAGTTTTGCTGCATTACATACTATTAACAATTAATCAATCATCCCTAACTGACCAATTTTGAGTGTTCTTTTACATATCTGTTTGTATTACTTGTTTTGATCAATAAAGAGAATTGTTCATAGATATCATCAATAACGTCAAATTTAAATGAGCCTTGTTACGTGTGGCAAGTAATTATTATTTTCTGTCAAGACTGGTACTTATGAACTCTTCCAATCTGCTATTAAGGTCCTTCAATAGTTAAATTTTGACATTGTACAGAGATCAAATTTCAAATTCATCAAAACTGAATGCAAGTGTTTTGACAGGTGCACACCAAAAGTTAAGAACACTCTGAAGTTTGACTCCTACCTTTCATCGATTTGATCATTATAAAATCACAGCAAATTAAAGACTATGTAACATAAGGACACAGGAAAAATTATTTTCTACTCTGAATAAAAGCTTACAACATATGTACTTGTTATATTACAGGTCAATTACTTTCTTTAAAATGCAAACATTTCTTAAATGACACCACACACTCGGTCTCATTTACCGGTACTATTTTCGTACCAAGTCAGCAGGATGCTATTTTAAAAAAACAATAATACCAAACAGACATATGTTTGGTTTCAAGAAATTGGGAAAATGTCTCTTGTACATGTCTCCACCTATTTTATGCAATGCCATTTCCAAACATGAATTTTGCTGACAATAACACTTAAAGGAGACAACAGGTGCTTGTTCTCCATACAAATTGCGTTGTATATTGAACATATCATGATGGGTCTGTGATGTCCATACCGTAAAAGCACATGATAAATGCAGCCCACTGCACGCTGCCAGCCAGATTCAAAAGACCACCCCTTAAAACTCAAGTTTCTCTGGACGGGGGTGGTTTCTGGCGGAACCAAAAG